ATTTTTGGTTTATTAAGAGAACTCATACTTATGTATGCTAAGTTGCCCACTCCCATCCCCCAAAGGCATCAACTGGATACGGGGTAAAATTTATTAAGAGTAAACTAGTAAAGTGGCCCGGTCGATGCGCATGCTAGAATTTTATAATTGTAATAATATGACCATATATTTGGTTGGTCTAAAGAGAAATTGGAAATTATGCATGGTGTACCAATTGTAATTTCTAAGATCGGTCTTGTTGTTCAATTATATTTGTATAATTTCCTTGGCATTTTTATCATGTTGCATTGTCATATTTTTTATTTGAAAAATATTTTATAGTTTGATTGTTTTCAGGTAGGCATATGTAAATTTTCTAACACGTTCAAGATTGACATACTTTCATTTTAATGATTTTTGTTGCAAGTGATTTATTTTGAATTTGGTCTATGACGTTATAGAGCATTTATACTATATATCCATTAAAACAGTCATTTTGTGTTAGATATTGGTTTACATTACCATTTGATTTAGTTGAGCTAAGACACGTGCAATAAGAATGAGCATTGTTGGCTCATATATTTATGTAAGCAAAGTTTGACACAAATACCCACTCTCTCGAATAAAACATCGTTCACACTACTTGCCTAAAAGAACATTGGCCAATCTACTATGTACGGAACACCAGTGCTTTCATGGGTTGCACCAGGCTGATCCTTCACTTTCCCCTTTCTCGAGTCTTGTCGTCTTCTTATTAGCTCCCAACCATGAAAGTAGACTATCCAAATTGGATACACAGCTTGAAAGCACCAGGATGATCCTTCACTTTCCCCTTTCTTGAGTCTTCTTCTCTTCTTATTAGGCCCCTTTCATGAAATTGGCTGATCCAGTCGGATCCAGAGCTTGAGTGTATCACTCAAAAGGTCCCCTAGTTTTCCTTCTTGGTGGCCCTTACTTTCACACAGTCCGTGGCTCGGGTCAGGTCTGTGGCCATGGGTTGGCCTTCCATGGCAACTTGTTAGGAAAATAATCCACAAATTTCAATCTCCTCTATTTACTCCCCCCCCCCCCTTCAACGTCCTACCAGATTTCGGGAGATGTGGAACCGTATCAACCTCCTCATGAGTTTAGGTATCTTCTTTGTCAAGTTTGTGTGTTCTTCGTCGAGACAACATCTAGATGGTTGAGATGGTGTCTTATGGAATAAGGTCTTGTGGCTGCATCAATGTAATATTGTGGCTATTGTGGTCTACTCCATTGGTTCCCATGGCTTGTCATATCATGTTCCGCAAATGTGAGGGCGTCGCCTTTAGTTCGTTGAAGGTGTTCAAGCAATATTTTTGGTGTTTCACAAAAATTAATATTACATGATGGAAAGTAAAAATATTTTGCCAAATGTAATATCACTTGTGCTACATCTTTAATAATAAATATGTGTGCTGATAAGTATTCTGACATTTCTAGAAAGACCATTTATGTCAATATTGCATTCGAGTCGTCCACACATGTTATTACATAGTGAGGTCGCTAGTAGTTTTTACGTGATGTTAGGTCTCGAGAGATAAAGTTCAAATTTTAGGTCACTGTTTGTTACGTATACAACTATTAAATTATGTGTTTTGAGGTCCAAACAGTAATTAAGGCCCACCAGAGCATTAATGTAAGCAAAAAAATAGCTTAGGTCGCTGTTTGTTAGGTATACAATTATTAAATTATGAAGATCTACTGACTATCATCAAACAATATATAATTAGGTTACAATCGAAGCACCTACCACAAGAGATGTATGGATTGTGATTTATTAAAATACCAAGGATCCAACAAAAGAATGGTAGGCTAATGACATGCACATATAAGTTGTGGTACCATAATAATAAGGTTTGACATATCAATAAGTTATTGGTTATAGTGGCTTAGTATGTTGCTTTATTGTGTATCTTCTATCCGAGTTACCTTTTTTCGGTTGGTGAACATGTGTGAGTCATTTTATACTAAAATCATAGCTATACAAATATGTAAGATTATATTAATATTTTCCCAAATAAGTAATGAATTGAATAGAAAAATGACTTTAAATATGTTGGCATAGATCAATAAAACATTGATACATTTTATTTTCCCTTGGATAAGTCTTTCTCCCTCTCATTTAATCCATCCATTATGGAATGAGTGATGTTTTATGCATGCTCCAAAGTTGCAAATACGAAAACTACCATTTTAAATGAGTACGCAACAAAAAAATAGGAAATATTTCTCAAAAGGGAATTAGTCTTTACATTAATTAATCATGTTATTTCATTGCTATGTTGATATGCGGTAGTCAAAGTTAAGCAAGTTTAAGTGAAATCTTTCTACTCGCCATCTATTTTTAAATATAGAAGTTGTAAAAATAAATTATCTCTCCTATATACTCTCCTTTACAAACCTTTTTCCATAACCCTCTCAATCAACACACACAAAAAAGATGAGCCTAGGCTGTGTTTTTCCTGGCATCTCCTTGTTTATTTAGGATGGCACATTCTTGACACAATTATCTAATATGAAAAGCAAAATTACTGTTCTTGGATTCCATTTGGCCCCATCACTGCATAGCTTTCTAATTAATGGTCCATTTTTTGTAAGTCCTTGTCATAAAAACATGGACAATGACATCACCAACTTCATGCTTGTCTCTCAAGCACTACTTACTCGTTGGTTGGCCCCTATAGAAAACATTGCTGGGTGAAAACGGTTCATGCATCACACCGAGTAAAAAAAATTGTCCCGCTATTTTGGCAGACTGCTCAAATGGCTCATTAGAAATATGAAGATTGGTTTTTGCAGATTTTGTATTTGTATCCTGATATATCATGATTGGAGACATGGGGAGGATCATAACATGACCGGTGAATCTTGATATATGTTGGCTTTGAGGGACCTTAATGAAGCTTAATTGTTTTGATAAATTTTTTTGTTTGTTGATCACGTATATTTTAGTAAGTAGTTTTTTAATACATCAATAGTGCTATTTTTTTTTACAAATAATAGTATATATTGTAGGTGATAATCCTTCCATTCCATGTTAGAGGGCGTCTAAGAAATTTGGAGATCCTGGAATTGTGTATTATCAAGCAAGAGCAGCTTTACCTTAAGTAACAATTCATTTCTGTTGCATTTACCCCTTATTGAAGCAATGATGGACAAATGATGTTGTTTTACTGGAATCAACTTCCCTATTCTGCCGAAATATTAGAAAGGTAGAACAAAAAAGTGAGATCTTTATTAGACACAATTAATGTTATGCAAAGCTACTTGATAAATCCTTAACACACATTCCAGAATATGTATACCATCAAATTTTTTTTTTGCGGGGGATGTATACCATCAATTTAAAAGCTCTTCAATATACGTGGAGCAAGTCCTTGTCTCCCAACCTGAGCAATACATTTGGATGGATGCGGACGCCATTCGTGTGCATTCCTATGTAGGCTCGTGTCTTCGCTGTGCCAAATTAACAATACAACTTCCAGTTCTAGACGTCTTGGTTACCCAACCTCGGCACGTCGCGTATAGTACATGCATACGGCATACCCCTGTGACGTGTGCAGCCGGCTGGACGCCACGGTGCAAGACGCGGAGGAGGAGCACGTATGCCTCTCTATGGCTCCGTGTAATCATTGCAGCTGTTTTCGCCACACTATTCGCCCACCACTGGAACAGAAGCCGGTGCTACTGAGCGTCGCATGGCTTTAGATCGACATGCACAGGGAAATGCTACATGCGATAGCAGCAGCCTGTAGTGCCAATCTGTTATCATAAAGATAGCGCCGTACTCCTGCATGGATATCACTTTGTGCAGCTCCTCCTTCCACTGGGTCTCTCTCCCCAAGAGGTCTGCATGAGGCCGCCATTGAGAGGTGACCGATCACCCATACACGTGACGCGATCACACTACATGGCCGCCTGCCTGCCGCAAGTGCATGGAGATGCAGGCGTGCTGTTTTAACTCTAGGAGCTAGGGTGTGCTATCTGATTTTTAGGGGAAGGGCATATTGTTTATTTTCCTTTCTTTAAAGGAAGGGCGTGTGCTCTTTTAGGATATGACCAATATTTTCTCAGGGAGGGCCGCACGTACTGTTTCCTTGGATCGTAGGCACCTTGCAAGGCAAAAGTCTGATCAATCGTAACTTCTTTTTAGGGAGATCGAATCTAATAAGCAAACCTTTTTCTTCCAGATGAATGTATACGTACGTGCATACATCGATCTATTAGGCCCCACCTCACATCATGAAACGTTTTCTCCACTAAAGTTATAATGAAAATGGTGGGTAATTTTCTTACTTTAAATCTTATCCAAAAGGCTATAAAATTAAGTATATTAAAATTATGGTCGTATTTTTTCTAATCTTTGTGGTAATTTCTATCAATTTCTTTTTTATATCTGGTTAACCTGTTTATTACTTTTTATATATAATAGCTTATTTGATATACTAGTAAGTTTATTAAGAGTTGCTCTTAGTCATCAGCTGAACTGTTAATAAGAACCATGTGACGAGAAAGAGAGTTACAGCAACACATTTTCATTTGGTACTAGAGTTAGAGATATGGATGCTCTACTGAAAGCAGGGGAAAGAAGAATAACTTTATTGAGTGCTGCAAAAAAAAAAAAACTCCCAGTTGTCCAATTATGGCTATCCCATACCCTTTCCCAAAAGAGAGAAAACAACTTGATCAAATGAATCTTGGCAAGTTTTGCACATCAAGGCTATATATGTATATAACATCTGTCGGCAGCGACAAAACGATGCCGGAAATGTTCACAACTACAGTCCCAAATATTTTGATTTCAATAATAGAGGCGATCATGGAATCATCTTTGCTCTCCAATTCATCTCCACCGTCCGTCGTCTCCTCTCACTGCCACTCGCCACGCTATAAATACACCCCTCCCACGGCACATTTGTGAGAGCCAAGCAAGCAAGTATCAACACGTACCTGCACCCATCGCACTAGCTAGCTTAGCATCACCACCTGCTCTTAGAATGGCGGCCTACTACAACGGCGGCAGGCCCATGCCATACTCCAACACCGACGAGGGCTTCGACGGCGGCAGGACGATTTACTCCACCCCCACCGAGTGCTACGACGCCAGCAAGCACGGCCTTGGCACCGGCCACGGCCATGGGTATGGCGGGACCAACATGTACTCCAACACCACTGACGTCCAGTGCTTCGACTCCAGCATGCACGGGCAAGGCCGCGGTGGCGGTGGCAGGACCATGTATTCCAACACCGCCCACGGGCTCTTCGACTCAGGCAGGCCCGGGCATGGGCACATCCACAGCTACGGGCACAACGACGGTAGGATCATGTCGTACACCACTACCACCACAAAGGAGTCCTTCGGCGGAGGCGAGCAGGGGCAGGGGTACTACAAGAAGGAGGTGAAGCAGCACAAGAACAGGGAGCTCCTCGGTGAGGTTGGCGCCTTTGCCCCGGTAATTACTCAGGAAGTCAACATCGCATAAAGATAGAGTACAATCTTATCCATGGAATTAAGGTTGAAGTTATAATAGCCGGCTAGCCTCGCTATAGCAGCTTGAGCAGGGTGCCGGTATATGGTGTTTATGTACAATTGTCCGGTAATGTTATGAAATACCGACTATAGCTCTCTATAGTTGATTTGAATGACCACTGCTATTATTTTTTGAGAGCCCCATAGTAATCTTTCCTACTTATGAAGATTGAAATTGGTGGTGAGTTCACATTTGAGTCTAACATTCTTTCTAAATAAACAAATACAGTGATCCCCACATGTGGAGTAAATTGCTCAAAACCATCATACTTGTGTCTAGGGTACTCCAAAACTACCGTTTTTGCCAAAAATCACAAAAGATCACTACTTCCGCGCCAAGTGAATAATGAGCCGTTTAATAGCAAACTAACAGGTGGGACCCATCTGTCCAGGTTGATGTGGCGAAGACTAGTCCTAGTCAATGTTTGACCTGCTGAGGTGGATGGGGGTCCCACCTGTCCGCCACACCTCTGGGCTCCTCTCTCCTCTCCTTCTCTTCTCCCATCTCCTTCTTCCTTCCCACAGGAGCCGCGACCGTGAAAGAACAGCAGCGGCTGCTGACCCAGTCCGCTCCGACGAGGCCGAGCTGCCGTGCACCCGCGCCCCAGCATGCAAGGCCGAGCCCCCAGCGCGCGCCCCTGCCAGCTCCGGCTAGGCCGAGTCCTCACATGCCCGCACCCCTGCCCGCTTCGGTGAGGCTGAGCCCCCGTGTCCCCGCGCCCATACCCACTTCGTGGAGGACGAGGCCCTGCCTGCCCGCACCCCTGCCCCTGCAAACTCCGGCGAGGCCGAGGCCTCGCCTGCCCTGCCCCTATGCGCGGCGGTGCTGTAGCTCAAACCGCGATTCGTGAAGCGCCGCCGAGTTCGATGTGGTAGGCTTGCCGCGGAGGAGGCAGCGCGCCATAACGCCTTGCGTGGTGGATCC